GGGCCAAAAATGCAGCCTTTGAAGGGTTATTTAAAAGCTTAACGTCCTTGCCTATATAGAGGGAAAAATTAAAGCGCATCGTAAGCACGGCTCAAACTTCCTATTTGAAAGAACCAGAAAATCACCTTTCTTCGAGTCTTCAAGAAATCTGTTCGGTAGTTCTTTTGGCCCTGCCTTTTGTTATGGTTTTCATTTTGACACTTTGAATGAAAATCCTATGATGTGACCATTTGTAAATAAACTTGAAGGTTAGAAAACATGGGCCCTAACAGTTTCAAGTTTTTTTCAGTTTTCTACCTTCCTAAAGGCCTGTTTACATGGAGGTGGGGGACCCCAGGTAGGTGAGGTAACTTGTGGTGGTGAGTCAACCCACCTGTCATGTAAACGTGATCAAATTAAGGTGAGAGATCATATGGACAGGCAGGTTACCTCACCTACCTGGGGTCCTCTACCTCCATGTAGACAGGTCACTAAATTTGTTTGTATCCGAAGGATGATAAATGTTTCTTAAGGGAGGATCAGCTTTTTTAAAACTTACTCGTAAAAACGTGGGTGAAGTCTCCCCCCGCTGTAAACATTGGAGCCACCCTTAAAATGAGTAGCGGGTTATAACGGAAAAATTCCTTTAAGATTTTGACGTTCAAATTTCCTTTTTAAAGAGATTGTGAAAGAAAAAACAAGCCTTTCCCTACTAAAAACAAATTAAAAAGTCTGCCACCAAGAATCGAACCCGGGTTCACGTACTTGACTGGTCCCCTCACCACTACACTACCACGCAGACACAACAAAAGCAGGCAGAAATTTAATTATACAAATACAATTTTAGTCCAAGTTGAGAAAATAGAGGGGATTCCCGTCACGTAACGTCTCCAGCCAGTTGAGTGTACATCATGCCGAAAATTAAAAACTCTAAAAGAAAATGGCCGTACCAAAATTATCATATCTCGGTGAGCATTCGGAAGTCAGCCAAGCGCGGTCATTGCACGCGTGATGAACAAGAATGCTGTATCATGACAAACTAGAAACAATAGAAAACTCCCAAAGCACAAACTCAGCCAAAACGCTAAAACTCTTCAATGTTTACTCAAGTTTGGGCTTATAGAAGATAATGTCACAGTTTTCAATGACCATGAAATTCAGAATCCGGGTAGTTAGTTAATCAATTGTGGCCCTGAAAAAATTTTTACTCTGTTTAACGCCATGCAGCATTTCAATATTAGCACGACAATTCTTTTCCTGTTGTTTCTGAAATCAGTGTTCCTGACTTTCATGAGGTTGGTAAATGTTTCGAAAGGGATAGTCACCTTTCTTTTAAACTAACGAAACATAGGGTGCTCTTGATTGTATGAGCCAACCCAATGTCTTCCATCCCACCTTGTGAACGTGGGCACCCGCCTTTTAAAAAGTGGTAGATTATAATTGAAAAATACTGTTACGACCTCGTAGCTTTTAAAAACTGCGTTTTGTAATCGAAAAGAGCCATTTTAATAACACTCAAAAAAGTCTTTCCCTACCCAAAACAAAAAGGTAGCAACCGAGTATAGAACTCGGGGTGGATGCATTTAACTCCCTCCATCACCACTACACTACCAAGGCGATACGACTTTGATGGGAACAAGTTGATTATATAATTATATTTAAGTATCTGTTGGTAATAAATTTTCCGTACGATTTCATTTAGTTCAAATTGGGTCAAAAATGCGCCCTTTGAGAGGTCATTTAAATCTATCCCTTGATACTTATTATAGCTTAATTTTACGAAGAAACTTAAGACGCCTCTCAAGCACGACGCAAACTTCCTGCTATAAAACTCGTCTTAGCTAAGACAGGCCCTACATACTAGTATAATAAATTGGTTCTGTCTGCGCCATTCGAATTTACATAATAAATGGATGGCACTCCATCAGAGAACGGATTCAGTGATAACCAAGCTTAAGCTAATGGAATCGACAGTCGCTTCTGTAACAAGGCGCTTAATAAATACTTTTACAATTACAGAACACTCTTTTGTTCCCTTGAATTGATAGCAGTTTGTGCCACTCCAACAGAATTTGGTCAGACAGTGAAAATGTCGTTTCTAGCCAATAAAGCTGACGCATAAACAAAAGCCTGCAAGCAAGCTTTTTATTTGGCGGAGTCGCGAGTAGTCACGATTCGTCGCTTGCTCGCGCGTTCTCTCCCTTGCTCGCAGACTTGATATCAATAAGCCTTTCGCGTGCCTTCTTTTCTTGTTTTTGAATCTAGCAATCCAGCCTAGAGACACCATTACGTCTGACTTGCGTTTGAAAATAAAACTGTGGGGATTTGTTGACCGCAAGTACAAGGGGTAGGGGTAGGGAAAGGAGAAAATAAACTTTGTTTTATCGCGTTCTCGGAAATCGCACCCTCGCTTCGCTCGCGCGCGCACTAAATCGTTTCAAAAGAAAAGAAAGAAAAAATTTTTCTTCGAATATTAGAGCAGAAATGTTAGTTTGCTAAGGGGATTTATTTTACTAAGGAGACGAAAGCAGTCCTGAAATGGCGGGTGTTTCCGGACATCTTTGCTTACAGTTCTGGAATAAAACTATTTTTTTTTAACCTTGAATGACTGTATTTGCCCTTATTGGAAACGCTTTTGTGTAACATAGAGTGACGTAAAAATATTAAAATGTTGCCCCTTCATTGTCATCTATAATTTAAAAAAACAACAACAAAGAAACAAAGAATCGAGATTAAGCGTCTTCAACAGCTATTCCGAATCGCACCCCTTGCAGATGCATGCTACACTCCCACTCACCACTACACTACCACGCTGATACGCCAAGCGATGGCAAAATTCTATTACATGACTTACAAAAAAAACGCTTTGACTTGCCCGATCATACGTGATACATAATCAAATCTAACAATTTCCTTTATAGCATGCATGCTTGATCATTTCATGGACATACCAATTTATTCTAATAATGGCCAAGTCATACCAAATCATCCCAAATAAAAAGAATAACAAAATCCTCTAATCGGACTGGCCATTAGCAACCTTGATTTCAGCATTTAATATTAGGAAAATGTTTAAGGACTGAATACCTTCACGAGACTGACAGTATGCGATATTGCGAGCACCCTAAAAACACAGTTGCACTCGAATGGCTTTTATTAAGAGCCATAATGTCCCATTATGGCTCTTGCTTTTATTAAACTCCCGGTAGATCTTCTTTTCTTATTACCGTGATGATTCGATTAAGCGCCCGAGGCGCTTATTTAGTCAAGGTACCTCAAGGGAGGGCGCTTATTTGAAACAGGACTTATTTCTTTTGTTGAAAACCTGACGAATGTGCAAAAAGGTCTAAAAAATTTTAGCTGTTGTTTACATTATTGACTCAAAAAAAAGTTTATCGCCAAGATTTGAACCCGGGCGTTTCATATGCGACACTCTCTCCATCACCACAACACCACTAAGATGATCTGCAAAGCAACTGAAAAATTAAGCTATATCACGCAAATGAAAGAGAAAATAAGAAAAAAAAAAGGGTCATCAATCAATTTTTATTTCTTTGTTTTCGATCTTTTCATTCTTTTTTTATTTCAGTATAATATAAATCATCTGTTACCTTTTTCAATGTCTCGGAATTTATTCAAAAACTATTCTGCGCTTTTGTTTGTGTATAATATTTCCTTCTTACCTACCCAAAATTCGAATGCAAAACCTATTTGTTCTTTCTTCTTTATACTAACGTAAAATAAATCCCCCATAAATTCCTGCTAAGTAGGTTTCTGGAGACAGAAAAATTTACTTTTGAGGGCTTTGACAAACTGTAAAACATGATTGAGTAGAATATGGTCAGCGATGCACGGAAGCGCGTGGAAAAGCTTTAACTTAATCGCGCGTCGTGTTTCCTCGTGGAGGTCAGTTTTCGAGCTAACGTCTACCGCTCAACCTACATTGAGAAAAAAGAGAACCTGCTGTTGATCTACTGCTGAAGGCAACGGCCATCTTTTAGTTTAACAGGTGTAAGCTTGGAAATTGTATTTTGGGAGAACAGGTCCGCTTTCATGGTGAGTTCCCCTTTAATCTGGTCAAGTTGAACTTCAGTTATAAATCGTATTTTGTCATACTTGCGATTGGAAATACGATACGTCCGCGGTCAGTTTTCGGCAACACAGGAGTATACCTTGAAAACGTTGGCCCGACTCCTTAACCCTACAATCCGTTTTTATCCTGGTCGTCAAAAAGCAAGACATTTTGTTATACTTGAGGTATATATAATAGTAGTAGAGGAATTTTAAATAAAACTGAACTGCATTATCTCAGTGTTTTCTTTGATTATGTGTTTATTTGGGTTCAAAGAAGCGTAATATCAAAACAAAAAAACGACATAATCCCTTTTATAGTCCATCAATCAACTGCAATTGATTGTTCAATCAAGAACTTCAATTGAGTGCTCTTAACCTCTAGCTAACCATTAGGCCACATATCTGGGGTACTAATATAGCTCCCGGGGGCCTGGGTACTGGCTACCTAGAATACCAGTTAACTTTACCACTTTACTACCTATTTCAACTTGAACGTTATCGTACTTAGCATCCTTTGCTTGAATCTGAATTAACCCAATCCATGAAGTCCTTTCACTAAAACTGGCCTTGATAAAGGTTTCATGGTCTTGTTAAATGGAAGTCACAGTTATTTCAGATTCAGTGTAATGTGAGGGCGATCTAAGCAAGAAGTTTCTCTTAGCAAGTTATGAATCAATTAACGTGGCTTACATGGTGTTTCTGCATTTTCGAGCTCTTCTCCTTTATAATGAATAGCTATGAATCCTCCATTACGTTGTGCGTTTACCGCTGCGCTTTTGACCAGTTAACCATCTTTTACTCATCTCAAAGCGGCCACAACCTTCACGCAGAGTTCAGGAGTCACTCGAAACTAAAATCTATAAATACTACAGTACAACAGTTGGAGGGCTTGGCATTGTGGAAAAATCTCTTAAGGCTACCAACAACAACAAATTAATGCAAGATGATTATTCTCCAACAAGCATTGCACACCTTTTCACACCCGAAATTCCACAAAACGGACAAAGGTAAACCTTGCAAGCGTTTTGAAAAGCAGGTTTTCGGCACAGAAAACACATTTTCATCTTTGGCGGTCCGGGAGGGGGTTTGTGAAAATTGCATACCATGGCCGCATGGCGATCATCCTTCCACGTAGAGAAACGCCCGCAAATAAAGCAGGAATCTTTATTCGGAAATGGCATTCCTCCAAAAGCACCTCTCCTCATACTGCAGAACTGACAGATGTTAACGTCATGGGCGAACGGGGTTCCTACATGAAGCATTTTGTTGCAACGGAGATCCTGCAAAAAGGGCGTGGACGTGTCAGATTTTCCACCAACTGACTTGATCAATAGCATAAACACCGCATCGAGGGAGTGTTGGATTGCGTTCATTTTAACCCTTTCACTGACAGAGCGAATAATGGGGTTTTGTGAGGTAGCTCTAACTTTTGAGTCTGTGGATGAAATCCTATGGAGTGGCCATTGAAATCAAACCCTGTCTGTAAGTGTACTTTCACATGGTGCTTTTTGTTTTTCAAAATTTTACAAAATGTATTTTGGGATTTTTTGTCGAATTTTGCCTTTGGCCACATTTGGCAGTGAAAGGGTTAAATTGGTGCCTTTTCCGCCGGTGTAAGTTAGACAGGTTTTCACTGCACTTTCACTTTCGATTGGACAGTGAGGAGAGCGGGCCGCAAGTGATTTATTGATGAAAACGATAAACCCTACTATAGTATTATGATCTCTTGACCCGAAAGAATCGTTTACAAGTTAAATGCTAGCGTCGAACATAAATCGTGCTAAATATTGCGAATTTCGCGTTGCTCAACCATGAAGTCTCCTGACAATGGTGATGGTTAGGGAGGTGTTGCATATGAAATTGCTAGCGCACATGATATAGTAATGGTAGTGGTATCGGTACGCGACTGTTACTATAATAATAATAATAATAATAATAATAATAATAATAATAATAATAATAATAAAAAGACAAAAGACCTAGAACTAGAAATACAGAGAATGTGGCATATGAAAACCGTAGTGATCCCTGTGGTTGTTGGTGCGCTTGGTACAGTGAAGAAGGGTATGGTAGAAAACATCAAGAAAGTATCAGAGAGAGCTAAAGGTGCATGGTTTGCGCCCGGCTGATGCGCAAAAAGAACACCAGCAAAGACTGTGATAATAGAGATAATAATAATAATAATAATAATAATAATAATAATAATAATAATAATAATAATAATAATAATAATAAAAAAAGTCTTCATTGGGTAGTCACAACATACGTGTGGCTTTACATACATGACAATGCAATCTATTTAAGATCAAGTATACTACTCCATATACTACTATATTCATAGCGGTGACACTATTAGTAGTCATAGTGGTACTAGAGATAGTAACAGAGACATTTAAGTGGCAATGACTGGCTCTGTTAGTTGAGGGGGTATATAGCAGTAATGATATTGCTTTAGCTAGTGGTTGTGGCCGAAGATTTCGCACAAGTGAGCGACAGTGGTTCTATACTCTTTTTTCTATTAGAACCTTTTTTTAAGAATATTAAGGCTGAAGGTTGTCAAATTTTAAGAATATTTTTAGAATAAACCCGCGGCTGAGAGTTTGAAAGAGACCCAATTTCAGTTTGTATGTTGAAAGTTCGTAAATACAGTACAATTATATGTTTTGACTTAACCGTATAAAATTATTCTTTTCCCCAAACGGCGCTGGAGACAGATCTAGACACAGAACACTGGCAATTAAAACGCCAGTAAATTCTAAAGTGAAAATACCATAAGCTATAATTATAATTAAGTATAATTTAAGAATACGTTCTGCCTAAAATCGACAGAAAAGCCTGGGCCGGAAAAACAACATTTTCATAAAACAAAGAGTGTAGGGAGCCTAAACAAACTGGCGTGTTTTCGCGAAATCGAGAGCGACCCTTTTCCATTTTAATTTTCCACGACGCTTCCAAATTTGTATTGCTAAGTGCCTTAAGTTTTATGAAGAAACGTTCCCCGAAAATTTGGACAAAACCACTGTCCAAGAACGCCAAAAAATTACACTTCTGGTTGAGGTAGGTAGTGGTAGGTAAATTAAGGACACAACTTACTTTATAGTAGTTGTTCTTCCAGAATCCAGGTCGGTTCTTGGAGGGGTTAGCGTTCCTCAAAAATTCCAGAAGTCTTTTCTTTTCACCAGCTTGTTTGAGTTGTTCAGGTGCCATGAAAATCACTCGGTCGTCATCTTTGCAGTGGTCGACAAAGAAATCTGCAAGTTTTAGATGACATTTCCTTTTCTCCTCATTACCAACGAGAATGGTTTCTTGAACAACCTGTGAAGACGAAAAGAGAACTATTGGCGAACCAAATGTAAGTGCACTTAAATGCATTTAAATAATGAAATTGTCATCATCATCATCATAGTCGCCATCGCTACCGCCAACACCCCCACCATCGCCACTACCACCACCACCAGCATCATCATCATCATAATCATCATTATCATCACCATCGCAGTCGCCATCGTTATCGCCAACACCACCACCACCATCTGCATCATCACCACCATCATCATCATCATCATCATCATCATCATCATCACCGTCGCCATCGTCAACACCCTCACCATCGCCACTACCACCACCACCACCATCATCATCATCATAATCATCATTATCATCACCATCGCAGTCGCCATCGCTATCGCCAACACCACCACCAACATCTGCATCATCACCACAACCACCATCATCATCATCATCATCACCGTCGCCATCGCCAACACCAACACCATCACCAGCTGCCACCAACACCATCATCATCATCATCGCAATCGCCATCGCTATCGACAACACCATCACCACTACTACCATCATCGCAGTCGCCATCTTTCTCGCCAACAACACCACCATCACCAGTTACCACCACCACCATCATCATCATCATCATCATCGCAGTCGCCATCGTTATCTCCACCACCACCACCACCACCACCATCATCATCATCATCTCCATCGACATCAACACCTCAACCACCACTATGGGACTGTCTTGGGGAAAGAATTTTAACCCTTTTTCCTGTGCATTTTCCTTAGTAGTTCAATTCCCCACTCCAGAAACTATACATGAATGGGTACAAGCTTTCGGTGCAACGATCTCTGGGATCGTTTGGGTGGACAAGCGTTACTTAACAATTATTCCTCAAGCCCGAATAGACTCTGTGTCAATAGCCCATTCGGCCTTCGGCCTCATGGGCTATTGACTAAGAGGCCATAAGGCCGAAAGGAATAATTGTTTTAGTGAAATCCAACTAGTTGGTCAAAAATATCGAGAATAAAAAAAATTTAGCTACTTAAAGCTAAACTTTAATCCTTTTTTGCCGCCAAAAAGCGCGCGCTTTTCGTTACAAGTAGGCTATAACATATAGCCTAGAAGTAGCTCAACCAATCAGAACGCAGCATTGACAATAGACCACTAGTTTGATTTTACTAGTTATGATTGGTGGATGGTATTCAAGTCAACCATTAACCAATTATAAGTAACGCTTGTCCGCCCAAACGATCCCAGACCTCGTTGCGCTGAAAGCTTAATATACCCAATCTCCCTATAGTATCTGAAGTGAGGAATTTGACATAACACAGATTATCCAGACTCGCGGACAACCTCAAAATGGCCAATACCAAAAAGTTAATTGAAATGAAACCTGAATGAATTGCCACTATGCATGAGAAAAGAGGTATCAAACTTAGCCTTGTATCAATTTAGGGGCGTTCTCTAACTAGAATGAAATCCTCTTACCTCTTGTATGGAAACGTGGAAAAACTCTAGTCTTTCTTCTTCTCCTAAGCTTCCAGTGTTCCTTAGAAATGGCTTCAGCGTTCTTCTTACTTCCGCCCACATCATCATTGGAACTGGTTCTGTTAAATTGTCACTCAGAAGGTATTGAAGTTCAGTTTCACTTAATCCACCTCTGCTGCAGGCCAGGAAACCTAACATCTTCAGAAATAAAATCGAAAATAATTCATTCTAAGACAACGAGTAATTAAACTGTTCTTTTACAATAGAACTCGATAAAAGAACAAATAATATTATGTAGGCAGATGAGTACACATAGTACAGATATGATGACCTACGGCCAAACCCTGTTGATAAGGACCCTGAGAGGGGTATAGAAAGTGTCCGTATTAACTGGCTGTCCGTATTAAGCCGGATGGAATTTAGAGAAAATCTAAGGGCTTTCTTTCCCCAGGGACAAAGCAAACTGTCCTTAATAACGAGGTGTCTGTATTAAGCTAGTGTCTGTAAAGCGAGGTTTGAATGTAAGCTGACCGTACTTTGCTTAACCATGGTGTTTCTTACACGACGCAAGTTTCGTTAAATTAAATTGAGAATTTATAGTGAAAAGGAATTTAAAAACTGAATTTTTACATAGGGCTCTAGCGAAAATCAAACTGTTACACGCGAGATATGCCAATTCAAGTAAAACCTCTTCAGCAGCGCCTTTACAAAGGCTGACACGATAACAACATTTTATGGCATAAAAACAAAATGTGATGTAGAAACTATACGTCGATTTTTGTTTTCATGACTGATCAGATCGTGTAAAGTTACCAAAACGGCAGAAAGAACCTAAAGGACGGCAAAACGTCTGTGTGTGACAAAGGTTAGAGAGCTTTAACCTGTATGTTTTGTTGCGATCTCCACTTATTGTGTTCTCGCCTTTTACAAAAAGATCAGTTGGAGGGAAGTTTGGCGAAACATTTGTTCAAACATAACTTTTGTCACACAAAACCAGTTTGCTGTCTTCTTCCTCTGCCGTGCAGTTGCATAAAATCACTAGTGTTGGAAGTTGTTTTAGGAATTAAACGAAAACGACAGCTGGTTAATGACCTTAATTCATGAAATCTTCCACACTTGAAAATGTGTCCCTTCTCGTTTAGCTGGGTTTAGAAAGAAAAAAGACGCACCTTTTGAACATTGTTATTTTCATCCTCGTTGATCAGTCTGTTGATTATGAGCTGCAAAAGTTCCTTTATCGTGGCTGGTAAACTCTTGATGTGATGCGTGATCGTTTCAAAGACTCCGAAAACGCGAAGTTCCTCACAAGCCAAAGATAACCACAGCGGGTTAGAAGCTCCCGGTGAAGCCATCAACAGTTTCATCTGTTCTGTGTCCAGTTTCTAGAAAACAACAAAAGGAAAGAAATTAGTTACAACTTCTCACAACCTGTCCAACCTTCAAGATTATTAAAACGTTCGGCAGTGGCGGAGGTTGGGGAGGGGGAACACGTGTCAACAGAACTGCCCCTGGGAAAATCCCGGGGGGTTGGCGTGGTGTCGAATTACAATGTTGGACATTTGGGGGGAAGCTATCCTTTTTTTATTGGCCATTACTGTGTTGCGCAGAAAACAGGGTCAAATATTCGTTACCCAAAAAAGCCGTATTGTGCAATTCGACACAACACTGGGCCATTCAAAAGCAAAATCTCAAAACAGCTAGACTAGCGCTTACTGTAAAGGACGGCCATCTTGGTTTCAAGAGCACCAAATCTGCCTAAGGGGAGGGGATGGGAGTTGTGAGGAGGCACGGCCCACCGCTTCCAACCCTGACCTGGATGACTGCGCGTTACAGTGGGCATTAAATCTCGAAGGTCTTCCGGAAAAAAAAATAGCTAGGGAGCTGTAAACAGACTACAAAATGGGCAAAAGCTTGTAGGGCAACGATTAATCTCTTTACGGATGTGAAGTTCTAGTCAGTCGTGGCCTAAACTAGTGTTAATAAACCTGAGATCATGAATGCAGGTGAACACACATCGTGAACACTTGGACGCGAAACTACGTGGGGCGTCGAACCTATGCGCAGCTTTCCGCTCGACGTTTTTGGAAAGAAATTAATTCAGCCACGCAAGGAGTACTTAGATACTAGATCCAGTGTCGCGCTTCAAGGTAACCGTGACATGAATAATACACCATAGATTTTACATAACACTTGTGGTTTTACTCTCGTTAGAGTCACTTTTCAGGGACTATAACTAACGAATGGATTCTCAATACTACCTTATTGTACTTTCCTAAAGTGCGTTTGACGATTTCTTGACGGGCTGACTCATTGAGCTCTCCTACATGAAGTGGCACAGGGGATGGGGCGCGGTGTTCACTCGATAGCAGGGCTGCAGAGCGACTGCCTGTCACAGCGCTGATGACACAGCGAACGTTGCGTGGAAACACACTTGGCAACCAATCCATGTGTTTTACATCTTCAGCGTCCGCTAGCTTTAGAGGAAACAAACAATAAGTGTAACGTACGAATCGAATAGAAAAGTTACCTGCACTGTTTTTTGCCTTCTTCTCATAATATCCACTCTTTTAGAGATTACAGACAGTCTAGGCCACCAGTGTAAATATTTCATTGAAACCTCCAGCTGTAATACATGCTAGGGTCCTTTGGTAGATTTAGCCAAAGTAAACGCGCTATCAAGTGCTCTCTTTGCGTTGCGTTGTATTAACCTCGTCCCTAGGATCTCTCTCCTAGCCGTCTCGCTCCGTAGGAACGGGTAGGAGAGAATCCTGAGAACGAGGTTGGCGCTGTCTTTGTTTAATCTTCCTACTGTTTCAGTAGGACACACGCATAAATAAATCTAAACATCAAATTACCTGATTGATTGCATCGATGACTATGATGAAAACCTCTTGTTTTTCTGCAAGTTCATCCAAAGCTTTCTTCATCTTTTCTTTGAGCATATCAGTGCTCATATCTTGACCAGCCGCAAGATTGTCGGGTTGCACTGTAATAGCAAAATAAAAAAAATTAGGAAACAAAAGAACGAATAATGCACAACAGAGTTTATAGGGATATTACTTAAAAGAACGTGGAACGAAGAACGGGAAAATAAAAGACGGGAGCAAACTCTAACTTAAAACTAAGCCCCTCAGTAACTTCCTCACTAACTCTCTGTTTTGGTCCGGTTTTTTCATTTCCACGTTTCCCGTTCAACATTCATCAAGTAACATCGGAGCCTAAAGACTTCTTTTCCCGCTTTTTCAAGAAAGAACAAGCAGCCTCTTCTATCTAAATTCCACGTAATCGTAATCCGTGTTCACTAGCATTTCGTAAGTCCTATTACCATTATTAATTATTACGTTAATGACTAGCGCATACAATATTGTGTTTAACTGCCCGTTAGTAACAAGCGCGCACTCTCGGCTGTTTTGTGTTTGATTGTTACGTTAGTAACTAGCTCGTTCTGTTTAGGTTTGATTGACACATTAGTATTGACTAGCGCGCGCACTCTAGCTTACGTTTCTTTGTCACGTTAGCCTCTGGTTTTTTGTCGTTGTTTTTTTTTTGTTCTTAGTCTAGAATGTATTGGATTGTATCGTTACCAAATAGAGTATGTACAGTGCCCTCTCTCGTTTGTGTTTGTTACGTTAGAAACTAACTCGCTGTCTTTAGGTTTGATTGTCACATTACTGACTTGCGCGCGCACACTATAGCTTCTGATTAACTGCCTCGTTAGTGAGAAGCCCGCACTCTGTTTGTTGTTTGATTGTTACGTTAGCAACTTGCTCTCAGCTTAGGTTTGATAGTCCATCATTGACTAAGGCACATGTTTTGCCACGTTAATGAGTGGGGCAACTTTCTTTTTTGTGTTTGCTTGCTTCGTAGATGACAAGCATCCATTTTGTTTGGTGTCTAATTGCAACCTTAGTGATTATTTCAGAAACGTCTCCACCAAGAAGTACAATGTCTCCCTGATGTAAAATGTATTGCAGATGATGTTCTCATCCATGGAACGTGTGAGGCTGATCAGGACAGCAATTTGGAGGGATTCATGCTTATATGTCAGCAGAAAGCTATCAAGCTCAACGCCGAGAAGTTAGAGTACAGGCGTAAAGAGGTTCCATTTCATGGGCACCTGTTAACCACAGAGGGTCTCAAGCCAGATCCAGAGAAAGTAAGAGCAATGGTCGAGATGCCACGCCCAAAGGAAGGAGATGATATTTTACGCCTGAATGGAATGGTCAACTATCTTAGCCGTTTTCTACTTCACTTGTCCGATGTAATGAAACCTATACGAGGTCTTACCCATAAAGATGCAGCATGGTGTTGAAATGACCTGTAAGAGGAGGCTTGGCATGGTGTCAAGGAACTAACTGTATCAACACCCGTTCTAGCCTACTACAAACCCACTGAAGTGCTTGAAATCCAGTGTGACAGCAGCCAGAGTGGTTTTGGCGCAGCTTTAAGGCGGAATGGGCACCCAATCGCCTACGCTAGTCAAGCCTTAACGGAGAAGGAATCTCGCTTTGCGTAGATTGAATAGGAGATGTTGGCAATCGTGTTTTCAGTTAAAACGTTTAATGACTTTACGTTCCGTAGAAGAACTGTTGTCCATACTGATTACAAGCCACTTAAAGTCAATCTTCACCAAACCACTTCATCGCGCTCCTAAGAGGTTGCAAGGAATGTTGATCCGTTTGCAAAAGTACGATTTGGTGGTCCAGTACGAGAGGGGAAGCAGAATGTTCTTAGCGGGCACGCTTTTTACAGCTTATCTTACCTCGGGTGCGCAGTGATTGAGTCAGAGTTTGAAACGATCAACACGATGAATTATTTGCCAATATCTGAAGCCAGTCTACAGCAAATTCAGCGAGAGACAGAACAAGATGCGCTGCTTCAGGTTCTAAAGACAGTGAATCAGCATGGCTGGCCTGAAGACAAGAGTACCTTGCCGCTTCCAGCCTCTCCTTCTTTTGATGTAAGAGATGAACCGCCCGTTTTCAGGAAAGGGTAGTGGTAACCCAAGGCTGCTAGAAGTGGTCTTCTAAAAAGTATTCACACTTCGCACCTTCGCGTTAATGGTTGAATTAACAGAGCGCGTGAATGTTTTTATTGGCCCGAGATGACAGGCGAGATCAAGAACTACGTGTCAACATGTGAAGCCCGCAGAGAGTACGAACAGGGTAAAGAAAGGAAACCCTCATCAGTCACGAAACAACTAGTCGGCCGTGGCAGTTCGTTGCAGCAGACCTATTTGAGTTAAATGGAAAGAGTTACCTGGTGACTGTGGACTATTTTAGCGATTTCTTTGAGTTCGACCATCTCAGGAGTACATCCTCGGTCTACGTCATCAAAAAGCTAAAAGGTCATTTCGCGAGACATGGTATTCCCGAGCACTCGTTACTGAAATCGGGCCACGGTTCGTTTCGCGCGATTTCCTGAAATTCTCTAAAGAGTGGGATTTTGAGCGCAGAACCAGCAGTCCACATCATAGTCAGTCGAATGGAAAGGCCAAGGATGCGGTGAAACAAGCAAAGAAAATTATGTTGAAGTGCAGCAAGACTGGTTTAGACACGTTTCTTGCCTTACTGGACCACAGGAGCACGCCGCCTGCGAGTACGTAAATCAGCCCAGCACAGCGGTTATTTAGCAGAAGGACAAGAAGTCTCTTGCCGATAACAGCTGGATTATTGAAGCCATCTGTAACAGATGAGGATGTAACCCATATCAAGCTTCGTCGCCGCCAACAGCAACAAGCCCGGTACTACAACAGAGGCGCACGTGACCTGCAGTCCTTACAGCCGGGAAACACTGTGCGAGTTGAGTCCTGGCGCGCTGGAAGAAAAGAGTGACATAAAGGTGTCGTCGAAAGTCGCATTGAAAAAAAGAGCTTACGAGGTTGAGCTGACGAAATCGTGTTTACCTACGTAAGTCCAATGAAACGCCTCCCAAAGTTGAAGATGATCTCGACGTCGTAGAGACGCCCGAGCAGCTCCACAGAGGCACGCGAGGAGACACGCGGAGAGACACCTCCAGATACACGCGTGGAAACATGTGACCATCCGCGCGATCAGCTGCCTCCGGTGCCGGACACACCTAAATCGCCCAGTCCTGTGCAAACACCGAGATAATCTACACGCATACGCCAGCTGCCCAAACGTCTACAGGACCATGTGCTTACTTAGGCATATAAGTTTAAGGACTCTTTCTAAAGAACTGAATTTCATTTAAAATGTGTTTATTCACTTATTTTGGTTTCAAGGTTTTCATGTAAGTTGTTCTTTCTTACATTTCAATATGCACGTCGCTTGTACTTCTGGTTCGAATACATTAAACATCTGTTCGTTTTATGCTTGTTTTACGTGAAGTTTTGTCGTGTTATTACACCTATAACCATGACTCTACACGTTTGTTCACGTGTGAAGAGAAGAGAATACTAGATCCTTACTCTTGTATTAAAAACACCTATTACAGAAAAAAACTTTAAGAAACACTTTTTCTTAAAAGAAAGGCGGGGCAACCCCCGCCCCCCGGCCTCTCCTCCTGTGCAGGTCCTGTTTTCGACAAAACAAAGTTAATTCCGGTTGCATGCTACAGTGTGCCCATTTCTTGTTCTTTATAAAGTCTACCGACTTTCTCCAGTATGTTCTATGAACTTGAAAAGAGTTTAACATTAAATTGTGCTATAAAAATAAGCCACTCTCCCTTGACTTAAGTCTACGAAGCTCTTGTGTGCTGCAATTACATTCGTACATTACATGTGTGCTGAGTAGCATTAGAACTCATCGACTGGACGTAGGAACAATGCTTCAATGTTGAGTTGAATAGCATGCACTTTGTTGGGTGTCTGATTATTACGTTTGCGAAAACGCGCACTCTTTTTTGTGTCTTATTTTTACGTCAGTAACTTGCGCTCATTTTTTCATTGTTACGGTGGTCACTTGCGCACTCTCTATTTCGCGTTCTGGTTAATGACTTGTGGGCACACTGTTATTTGATTGTTACACTAATGACTCGCGCGCAATTTGGTTCTTATTTGATTCTTTGACTATCGAGCTCTCTGTTTAATTGTTATGCTAGCGACTAGCATGCACAGTTTTGTGACTAGCGCGTTCCTTCTTTTCTGTATGACTAGCGCCTATATTTTGTGTTTGATTACTACGTTAGCGATTAGCGCAAACTCTGTTTTGTGTTTGACTGCCACGTTACTGGGTCGAGCGCATTTTGTTTAGTGTTTGATTGTTTAGTTAGTGAATAAGGCGCTTTATATTTCGTGTTTGATTCTTACGTTAGCGCGCACTCTCTTAAGCCCCCCATTGTTACGTTAGTTACACGGCGCTCTATCCATGCTTAGTTTCAGCCAATGAGCTTCCAGCATTTCCCACAGCGAAAAACGTTTAAACATTAAAACACAACAAGTAGTAAAGAATCAAACCTGCTGGATCGAAGCCTTTAAGCCACCGCACAAGCTTCTCGAAAAGTTTGTGAGGAACCATTGATCCAGGACCAGCGCCAACAAAATGGTAGAACAGTGGCAATCCAAGCTGGTGATAAATTAATTAACAATCAGTCAACGCATTATTTTGTTCTTTTGTTTTAGTTTGGCATAATGGTAAATCCTATCTAATAGGGCGACACGTTTACCATTTAGCTCCACTATAATACCTACGAAAAACTCTATTAGTCATACAATGCCTAATCTATTATATGTGGACTAATACGTATGTGCCCTTTATGGAAGCAAGTGGCGTCATAAGCTCTCGAGAAATTTTTACATGTAATCATAACTATAACAAATTCTCAAATCTGACTGGCTATCAACTTTCCTGATTTCAGCCTTAGTAGGACTGTGTAATAGTACAATCAGGCCTGTAATTGGATAGTACGCGCAATCGCACGCGCGATTTTAAATGGCCTTTTTTCACTGCTAGCAAAAACACTCTCCGAATCATTCTTGTTTTTTTTTAAATTATAAAAGCCTATTATATAATAAATTTTGTTATAGTTATGATTAATAAGTAAGAGAACTTCGTGTCGTCCAATTCGGTCTGTAATCATACTCGTGCATGATTAAACAAATTGGACTCGTGCAACGCGGTCGCCCGATTTTGTTCATTCCTCGTATGATTACAGTCCGAATTGGACTCCACTCAGTCCCATTACAATTATTTATTGTCTTTCCCAAGCTCTAAGCGACAAGCTTTTTAATTCCCTTCTGTTTAATCCTTCGCACAAGCGGTATAGCTTTGTGTCTTCCGTGAATAATAAGTCAATTTAAGGAATAAGCGCGCTTTTACCACAAGGCGCCCCCACGTCATCCTTACTTGTAATAGTTTTATCCAATACAATGTCAGTACGGCAATGATGTAAATAGTCCCACATTTTGTATTTTTGTCTACCCATACATTAGTATGGGCTCTAATTGTTACTTGCTAAAAACAGTTACTGGCCTTTGTAATAATTGTATCTACAGTCTATAGGGAGGTTCACATTAATCAAGTTTAGGTGTGGTTGAACAAATGGACTGTAAAGGATGGTACAGGTTTGTATATTCTCCGATTGGGTGGTGCACATTTCGTTGATGCTGCCTTCTTTAGGGATGACAAATGGCATCTTTATGAGGAAAGTTGTTGCTCGCTATTGCCCAAGCAGCCTCCTTTCATATCAAGTATACCATCAACGAACCTCGTTTCTAATCAAATATATCATCGAATCGATGGCATATTGCTCGCATCTTCCAAATATGGTAAGCCCTGGTTGGTTATGAAGTATTAGCCGGAGGAATGGAGCCAATCAGAAGCGGAGAATTATTCTGAATGAATAAAGATTGCTCTTGAATGCAAATAGTTAACTGAAACTTAAGGCGCTTGCTAACATATACACGCGCAAGGTTTAAAAACCCATGGTCTGCTCCGATTATATTTAAAATTTACGAGTAACACCGTTGTCGAGGTCACACTATAAAACTGTGTGAAACTCTTTTTGGTTAGAGAGAGACGGGCTAAACAAGGTTAATAGAAATGCGCATGTATTAGAAGCAAACATGTCCTTAGTACCCTCAAGTTGATTTCTTGCCGATAGACAATGATTTATCGGTACGCTCTATTTTTTTTTGGTTTCGCTTACAGGGGAAGAAACTAAAATTACTCTATCCTACCACTCCTGATTATCGAAATGCCTACAAACCTTTTTCATCTGCAAAGTGCAATGAGACATCAACGCGGACTTTCCAGACCCTGCGGGCCCTAGGACCATCAGTGGAGGAAGGCCCTCTGTATCGGCCCCATCGGAAAGGGTGCCATTTTGAACATATTCCATGATCGTGGAAACCTCTGCATCTCGTCCCAAGACAAGCTGACCTCGTAGCTCAATGAAGTGGTTATGCATTGAAAGCTCTGTGCAAACAAAATAAAAGACAATTGAAAAAGTCAGAGCAGAATACAACCAAATCCTTAACCTAGTAAGTGGAGGGAAGGTTGCTAAAGAATAAGTTCTGGAGCATAAATACGAGAAAACCTGTCTGGATGACTTAAACAGTTGCCCCTCTTGAGGTGAAGTGCTTTGAAAAGATACTACCTTGGTCTCGAGGGTGTGGTATTTTAAAGGTGGAACTCTCTTGTTCTTTTGACTGGTGCATAATTTGGAGCCATTTTTTAACAAGTGTCCTTAAAACATTCACTTGAAGCTTCTTCGAGAAATGAAAGTTAACTAATACCTGAGACTTTGCCTTACTTACCCATCTCTTCTGCTGACAGCTGTTGTTTCACCTCAGGAACTGATCTACTTATAGCCGATTTAAAAAATTCCAGCACAGAATCACTAAAATTCTCCAGCTCTTTCAGCTTCACCTAAACTCGAAATCCAAAAACAAGAAATAATTTGGTGCTATTCTACGAAATGCAATGTGGTTATGATGAGCTCTCAACACAAGGGTTTGATTTACAAAATAAAACTCTTGCTGAGGGTTTATGATAAACACATCGCCTGCAACAAAGTTGTATATAGTGTACATATAAAAGAGAAGACATTCATTACTCCTGTCACATAAACGTAATGTTCTGACGAACAGTCCTTTCAAGTGCGCCACGCGCGCGCTGTTTTAGTTACGTTGCTCGCGCCTAGTTCAAATTTAAAACGTTCGTGTACTTTGTATTTACGCGAGCCGGCAATTTACGTGTAGCGAGCGTTAAGTTCAGTTGGGTGATGTTACACGGGACGATTCGCAACGACGATTTTTGCGCAACACAACATTGCAATGTTGGCAAAATGTCCGCAACCATTTGAATCAATGTCGCAACAATGTTGCAACAATATGTTGCGCTAAAAATCGTTGTTGCGAATCGTCCCGTGTAACAACAACCTTCAAAACTCTTTTTTAAGCTGATCAGATCAGTTGCTAACCCGTTTATTGATAACCAGATGGTGCTAACCAGATAAACAGAACTTGTTAACCGGAAAACGAGACTGCATGCGTAAATGTGAACTATCTTGTCTAAATACGGAGGCAGTCATAGAAGAAAGTGTAAAGTCGATTTTGTTGCTGTATTAGGTTACTTTCTGTTCATTTTCTACGTTAAAACAACATCTATATTCTAGATCAAATTGTACGTGTAATTAAAATACGATTCTAACTTCGTATTTGCTCTATTTGGCGTCTTTGGTCAACGGAACACTTAATTTATTTTAATTTATATTGTAAAAAAGTGACAGACTGCAGCAGGAAAAGATCACATTACGCCTAATGTATTTGTAAGATAAATCAATACACAAACATTAACTGATATTGGAAGTTTAATACCATACAAATATTACCTTTGGCCTTCCGGTTGATTCGTCAATTCCGTCGTATTGACAGGAGTAATCAAAAACTTGTCCGGGAAATTTCTGTCTCAATTTATCCTTCAGTGCCTTGGAAAATAGTATGCCAGTTCTTAGCATATATGTAAGTATTGAGAACTTACTGTTTATGACTGAAATGTCAAAATAGGCAATTTTCACAATGACTTCAGTACACTACTACGACCAAAATCCTTCAGGGTTTTGCCTCTTTGTGCAAATTAGGGCCTTTGCCATTTAAACCTCACTAGGATTACCAAATTTAAATATGAAAGGAAGAACGAAAAGGATTCTGGTCATCGTAATAAAGTGGCGCCATAGTGGAAATAGCATTATTAAACTTACCTTCATCTGTGCTTTGTTCAGAGAATGAGTATCCACAAATGCTCTAGTCATCTCTGGAGGTAGGTCTTTTATAAAGTCAGCACTTCTTATAAGAAATGCAGCATTTTGATTGTGCATTCTATATGCTGCATGGATGATCTCCATATGGGTTATTGAAACAGGAAATATCCATTGGTATTCTTCTTGAATCTCCTGTGATATTTCAGATGAGGTTGGGATCCACCCATATCTAATACATAAAAAAGCAAACTTCAAACAACAATTGTTTGTTCAGCGTCACACTTCCCTCAAAATGATTTATCTTTAAAAACTCCTTTCCTCTGAAGTGCCATTGAAATTCCCTTGGGCTACACACTGTTCCATGCATCATGCCATTCAGAGTGTGGGAAAGAAACAAACAGTAGCAGGTACATTGCTTGGCAATACAATAGCAAATAGGAGAGGGAGGAAAATAAAGACCCAGCTCCTAACTTTTACATCTCCCAATTTGTCTCTTTGCCTCTTTTCCCCCTAGATATTGCATTTACGGGGTTACAGGGGCAATCCCCTCACTTTAATATAAGTTGCTCCACAAAAGGCATTCACATTAGCAAATGTTAACAGGTAGACTACACCCACACCCCTGCACCCAATTCAGACCGCACCCTTACACCTTCAGAATTACGAGAGGGGAAGAATGGGTAGCTCCTACAGCACACACACACACAAAAAAATAAATCAGTTAGTTACCTTTCACCCAGCATGTTCAAGAAAAAGGGTTCTCCATCTGTCTCCTCTGAACAGTGATTGATTTCACCTAGGCATGTTCTGATGGTCGCTTCGGTTGTGGAATCTTTAGGAACTCCCCATCGAAGGTCACACTCAATCAAATGGATCAGCCTTTCTTCACACCACTCACGCAATGCAGGGACAACCTTAAAGTCAACAGTGATGATATACAATGACAGCAAAATAGCAAACCATTCTTTCATTACCTCTCCTAATCACTTTTTTTTAATCAGATTTTTCATCTACAATGACATATGCATAAAATTATCTGTGTTGTACAGCTGTTACTTTAGAACATGCATTGCTATCGTTTTAACAAAATGCATTACTGCCCCCTCCCCTCCACCACCACCACCACTACCACCAATACTATGTTAAAACTGTCATTGTCCTATTTGATTTTTAAATCAGTATTGCAAGGCATAATTAGAATCATTTTAATCTCCAGATGAACAAAATCGGCATTAAACTCCAATTCAAGGGCAGATCAATGTAGAGAGCTGGAAACAGCCCTTGATTCATCAGCAAAAAAGCACCAAGTTTATTGTGGGTTTCTCACAGTGTACTGGTAACATGATTTCAGGAAAAAAAGTGGGTTTTGAAAGAACAGTTGAACCTCACTACAACGGCCACCTTGGGGACAGAAGAAAGTGGCCATTGTAGAGAGGCTGAAACAAGAGTGAATGTATGGACTATCT